AGTGGCGTCCGTGTACCACTCATAATACCACCCCAAACCATAATGCTGCCAACTTTCGAATGGGACACGCGGTTGGGCTGTTTCTAGTCGGCCTTGTCGTGCTGGGGCCCTCCAAACCAATGTTCTTCGCGAATCAGATACCAAGATAATTTTTGACTCATCAGAGAACATCACGTTATTCCAGTTGCATCATGATGCATCATTCCTCTAGTTCATTGCAACCTTACTCTTTTGTGTTGATACGTTAGTTTAGGAACACGTAGCGGTCTTCTACGATACAAATTTACCACATTTAGTCTGCGTGTTATTGTTTGATGTGGAATATTCAATCTTTGAAGCTTAGAAATTTATCTGGATATACCACTTGCAGATTTTAGACGATTTCTACCAGCTATCAATGTTTTGCCGGTCTTGTGCTGCTATTGTACATCGACTTCTACCACTTTTAGGACGATCCTTGACGTCATTTGTACCTTGATTTTTTTTTTTTCATTTCGATATAGCACTCTGACTACATCAACAATATTCGCGATATAACTTTGACTAAAGCCGTGTTGTAACAAAGCAATTACTCTAGATCAAAATAAGAAATCACGTGTCTAGGTATTTTTAAACGGCTCAATTCAAATTTAAACAACGACAGAAATAATGTGTAAATACGCTAATCAGTTGAACGTGACCAAAGTCATATAAAAACGAATCAATTTTTTTATCATTTTCATTTAAAAACGAATGAATATTAACAACAGTTTTAAAACCACCATAGGCGTAGATATATTATTTGTTCGTATTCCATACTTTTGGATATACAGTGTAGATAAAAGTTTATGGTCGGTATGGTAAAATTTAACAGGATATCTAACACAGATATAAAAATCATATTTTCAGCGAATAGACAAAGATAACAATCATATTTCCCCTTGGTCTCCCCTCCATAAATCTTATTGACGCCCATTGCCCATTAGTGAGACGATTAGTTCCGATCAGAGATATTTTACATATTCTCTGGTTCGATCCTAATATAGCTAATATGAAACTAGAGGTGGGTCCTCTAGTTTTTTAAATTTTTATCGGAACCGTTTTTCGTAAACTATAACTAGTTGATTGTTTACCAGTATTCAAATTAGCGAGTACACAAACATATTGGCTATTATCGTTTATGTGTATAAGTATTGAAGTGAAAAGAAACTAACGAAGGATTATTTATAACTTGAAAAATAAATTAAACAATACAACTAGTACTTTCATTTACATTACACATTATTAAATCGCGAATCGTCTAAATTGACATTTAAAAACATAAGGTTTTCCACTTTTCTTGTTAATCGTGTTCTTCTTTTACTTAAAATTAAACCAGATTTTGAACATGTGTTCACAAGAAACAGATTTTGTTACAATACTACAATATTTTATGAATATAGTGGTTAAGTTAGGATATACACGGCGATGGTTTTTCCACCAGGGTAATGGACAGTTCCAATCTCCGTTCGAAATTTTTTGTGGGTAATATATCATCAGACAAATACATGTCGACTTCTTTTATATCTCTGACAAATACATGTCGACTTCTTTTATATCTCTCGATACATGTGTATGTTTAGATGAGACATGTCCAATTAATTCATCAAAAATACACCATGGACTTAAGTCATCTGTATCAGTTTCTTTTTCTTGTACTGGTTGATTTTCAAGATTTACTAAACTTATGCAAAGACTCGTTTCATCCGTTTTCCATAGTCGAAGAACGAGCTTTTAAAAAGTTTGCAGGGCTGATTCCTGGATATAAACCGCCAACAAGAAAAACTTTGTCAGGCTCATTACTTCAGGAATGTTATATCAAAACTGAGCAAATTATTAGATCACTTGTTAAGAAGTAGAAAATATCTGTATATACTGCCCTGGACATCTGAGTAACGAGAGTTACATCGCATTAACAGGACAATATTTAACCGAAAATTTAGAATTTAAAACGGTTTTATTAGGCTAGCTGCCATTTTTCTGGAAACCATAATTCAGAAAACATCGCTTCTGAAATTAGTGAAAATATTAATCAGTGGGGTCTAAAACGAAAAGAAAATTTTGCAGTAACTGATACTGCCTCAAATATCGTCAAAGCTATTAAAGATGTTTTGGAATGAAAACATTTATATTGTTTTCTCATACGTTAAATTTATTGGTGGAGGACGCACTTAAATGCTGTCGTGTACAAATAGATACAATAAAAAGTCCTTTTTCGACAATTCGGCAAAAAACACATTTCAAAAAAGTACTTTATCTTCAGAAATGATTTTAAAGTATCAATTACAACATAAACAAAGCTCCCAAACGGCCAATCCAAGACATAGAAACTAGGTAGAACTTTACCTATTACATGTTAAAAAGAATGACCGAGTTAGAAGAGACAATCCGTTCCACATTGGTATTAGTCAATACAGACTTAGACTTAGACCAAATCTAAATTAAGAACACTGGATTATTTGTTCTCAACTTTCCCAAATTTTACGGCCGTTTAAAGAAATAACAAATACAATGAGTGGCCAAAAATACTTGAAGGGTAGTTCAGTGATTGTTATGGTACGCTGCCTGCAAGAATCTTGCAATAAAATTTTAGCAAACGGTAACCTTACATCCATAGTATCCGACGTAGTACAATTACTAATATCGGGCTTAGCAAAAATATTTAGAGGGATAGAACAGAGTGGCACATTGCCATATGTACATTTATGGATTCACGATTTAAAGTGCAGGGTTTTTCTAATAAAATGAAGCTAAAAAAAACAAAAGAACGAGTTAAGAAGCTGGTTACTTCTATAATTAAAGAACAAGAAGATTGTACTATTGAAAATCAACCAGTAAAAGAAAAAGAAACCGATAAAAATGACTTAAGTCCATGGTGTATTTTTGATCAATTAATTGGAGATGACTCATCTAAACCTACACCTGAATCGAGAGTCCATTACAACGATGGAAAAACCATCGCCATCCTAACTTAACCACTATATTCATAAAGTATTGTAAATGTGAACACATGTTCAAAATCTGGTTTAAATTTTAAATAAAAAAAAGAACACGGTTAACAAGAAGTAAAGTAGAAAAACTTTTTTACTTTTACTGTTTTTAAATGTCAATTTAGACGATTCGCGATTTAATAATAACGTGTAATGTAAATGTAAGTACGATTTACTATTTGTATTGTTTAGTTTATTTTTCAAGTTATAATAAATATATCATTACTTTCTTTCACTTCAATAAATACACATAAACGATAATAGCCATTATGTTTATGTAGGTACTCTCTTACTTGAAAACTTTTAAACAATCATATTTACTTGTTTACGAAAATCGGTTTAGTGGCGTTAACAGCAGGTAGGCGGAAAATTTCAGGCCAATGCTTTTTAAATGCATTAAATTTTTTTTGGAATCCTGAGAAAACTAACAAATATTTTTAAAAAATTTCAAATGCAGAATGAAAGATTGCATTATTACCGAGGACCGAAAGTCCCTTAGAATAAACAAAAAGTTTTTTGAATAGATATTTGAAATTAAAAATCACACTAAATTTTCTTTTTTTCACCCCTGTAACTTATTAAAATAAACATTATAGAAGTTTTCGGGGACTTTCAGCCCTCGGTAATAATGTATTGTTTCATTCAAAATATTATTTTATTACAAAAAATAGTTTTTTTCAAAAATATTTATTAGTTTTCTCAGGATTCGAAAAAAAAATGAATGCATTTAAAAAGAATTGAGCAGTCTTTTTAGAACCTGATCAGGTAAACGCATTTTTTGAAACTTAAACCTTTTGAACTAAACCATACATGTATGGCAAGACAAAATATTTTTCAGTTCGCAGTGTGGAGCCTCTTGAAATTTGCAATCTAGAATATGTTAGCGGATACTGTACGGAAATAGAAGAAACGAAGGGGAAGAACTCAAATGAGATGAAATGAAAATCTTAGAATAATTCTGAATCAATGTGAATGACACAGACGCTGAATAGAGACTTGTGAAAAGACAAGGGAAATACATATAATAAAGCTGTACATCTGCAACCAAGGCTATATAATTCAACCCAGAGGCCTGACGTCCATAACATATATTTAGTCATTAATTACTGTGTAGCTTCTGTTTTATCATAGTTTCTAAAATACGCATATAAATTAGCTTCATTTATATTGATCATTTTAATTGATCACAATTATAGGCCTCGTTAATAATGTCGTATAATTTCAGATAATTATGGATTGAAGTTTTTAAATATCCACGCTAATAAGCAAGTAGTTATTATCTTGCATATGTTACACATTTCAACAATTTTGTCGGTAATCGCAATATTTATTTTTTTACATTCCAATGTTTTACATTGTACATATAAATGTTATTTATAACATTTGTGTCTGTTGTAAGTAAATAAATAAATTTATAACATCCTATGGTGTTCATTGGTATTGTTTCGGACAAAATAAACTTTTGCTGTCTGTTTATTTCACGACTATTGATGTATCTTTAAATTGTACACTATGCTCATTGTCCCAGGCATGTTTGTATAGCTTAAATCTGTCAAAGTCTCTGTTTCTGATTTATGATTCATGCTCATTTATCCTAACACTTAATGTTATTGAGGTTTCTCCCACATAAAAATTGTTCCATTCACAAGATATTTTATAAATTCAGTTCTTTGATCTCTTCTGTGTATGATTTTTGGTATGATTTTGGATAGAATAGGTCGAGGTGTTGGTTGTTTTTAATGTTGTAATATTGTATTTATTTTCTATCCTTTTTAATTTTTCTGAAATTTTCCATGATAAAAATGGGCCGAGCGTGTTTAAAAAGAAACATTTTCTTTTCAGTACAATTGGTATTATTTTCTGCAATACTATAACGGTCTTTTTAATATAAAAGAACCAAAAAGAGATATATATTATAGAGAGCGGTGAGTCACAATCAAAAAGATCGCAGTAAGATGATATGATAAAAAATGAAAAATGGGAAGCACTTACCTAATAACTACAAATTGAAAAAATATTGCTATGCCAGATCTGGAGAAAGGTTTCCAAAATGTCTTAAATATGGCATTCTTAAGGCTAGGCTTCTTTTGCTTTTTTTCTTCATGATTTCTAATTTCATATTCCCAATTTCTAGAAATAAATATAACACATTATTAAAAATGGTTCTAATATACACAAAAATATGATTCTAAAACTATTTCCTTGTGGCATGTTTTTCGCTGAATATTTTATACATAAAAAATTAATATATTGTTCTGGAGCTATTTCCTTGTGGCATTTTAAATTAATTACTATTTTAATGGGAATAAGCCACAATTAAAGGTTAAAGTACGTTTATTGACGTTTCAATTTCCACTTCGGAAATCGTTCCCAAAATACAAACATTAGTAAATTAAACAAATTTTGTTTTTTTGTTACTTAGTGAAAAATTCGTGTAATAATTTAATTTTATCTGACTCATTTATATTGACAATTCAGACATACATTATACATTTTAAAGACGACTCTAAAAGGGTATTGGCAATATTGTTGAGTTGCGTGCATGAGGGTACATGACATGATGACAGTAAAATTCTCCTGTTAGTGATTCCATAGTAAATTATGAAAGAATAACCAGGAAAAAAACCTCATAATAATATCCCGACATGGTATTTGGTCGTGCATTTAGTTTACCTTCAATAAACACAAATTCTGATTTTATATGTTTGTTATTTAAAAAACATAAATGATATATCCTCTATATGTTACTGACTTACTAATACTGGTATATTCTTTTTAATAACTTCCTCTTTCAATATGGGTAACCAGATCCTACTACATTCTGCCGAGGAATTTTGAAAATGGCTTTATGAACCACTTAAGCTAAGCAATATAAATCAAAATTTGATTTGATAAATAAAAATGTTTTGCCATTATTTTGCTATTTTTGCTTTTTTAATGGGTATTTACCTTAATATTCACATTTGAAACATTTTCTGTGAGTAGCTATGGTTGTTTGAAACTGTGATGAAACATATTCAATTCCTTTTTTTTTCTTTAATACTCAGCTCTTTAAGACTGAAAAAACCGATGGAGTGTAAGAAGATTTTTGACTGTTATTTACTTCTTGACTTTCACTTTTCACCTCTGAAGTCGACTTTGATACCTCGTGTTGCATTCGTTTCTTCACATTCAGAACGAAACATGGGCAGATACTTTCGATCCCTATTTGTTAAAGCAAAGGATTAAGGAAATTAAAAAACAGAAAATCACCAGGAGAGGATAGAATACCGAACGAAGTATATGAAATCTTATATGAATCACATATACAAAACAACAAATAAATATACGTATATCTACAAAAAATTGTGCATTTTTTATATATCCTCATTTCCCAGCAAATTTCATTTAGTAACGAAATAGCCCACAAGAGGCGCTAAAGAGTATGTATGTAAGGAGTGTCCATTCGAATTTTCCGCCAAAAGATGATTAGTATTGACCCCAGCCGCAAGGGGTCCTAATGAACGAAATTTATACATTGAGTTGCCTATCTATTTCTACTATTATATTATTTATCTATGGTCTAGGTCAGTGATTCTCAAACTTTTTTTTACACGTACCACTTACATAAATTCTGCGTCAATCGCGTACCACCTATTAAAAAAGTAGATAATAAAATTTACTAATTTTGGCAAAAATGTATTTATTTAAAAAAGGGCATTATAAATGTTACAAAATAAAACTTACAGTCTGACCCAATCCAAAAATTCAGTGAGAAGGATGGTTCTGCATAGCTACAACAAGTGAATCGATATCAGGATCAATTGTGCTTAGTTTCATTCGTAAATTTGGATCAACATTAAGCCTACTGCGAAATTTATTTTTCAGTTGTAGCATAGCAGAAAATCCAGTTTCACACAGGTAGGTTGTCGTAAAAGGAAGTAAAAATAACAATGCTTTTTCTGATAAGGCTGGATATTCATTTTTAATATTTAGCCAGAATTCAGCTAATTCTAATTTAGAAAACTCTATTTTCAAGCCTCCATCACAAGATAGTTCTATTAAAGATTCTTTTTCATCCTGTTTTAATGATTCAGGAATGCTATCCAAAATAAATGGTTGTCGTATCCAAAGAAACTGAGCATAGTCTTCGTCAAAATATTCTTTAAAACTATCAATTAGCATTTGACAATGCTGTTTTATGTTAAAAATAAGATCATCTTTAATCTTTATTTCATGCTCAACCACAAAATTTTCTAAATTGGTAAACGACTGCAAGTCTTTGTTTGAAACACTATTTTTCATCATATAACATTTCTTGATAAAAGCATTTATTTTGTCGTTTACAGAAAATCGATTATGTGATTTACCTTGTAAGCTTAAGTTTAGGTCATTTAATCGATTAAATATATCTGTTAAGTAAGCTAGTGTTGTAAGCCACAATTCATCTAATAACCGATCACGCAGTTCAAAATTGGTTTCCATTAAAAACACATGTACTTCAGAACGCAACTCGAATAAACTGTTCAACATTTTTCCTTTTGATAGCCATCTTATCTCCGTGTGTAGCAATAACTGAATATGATCACTTCCCATTTCAGAGCATAGTTTTGAAAATAAACGCGAGTTTAAGGCTCGAGATTTTATGAAATTGACTATCTGAACGGCTTCATGGAGAACATGTTTAAATTCATCGGGCATTCGCTTTGCTACCAAAGCTTCTTTGTGGATACTACAATGGGTAAAAGTACAATTTTCTGCAACCAGTTTTACTTTGGCAGTTACACCTCCGTATTTTCCTGTCATGGCTCGGGCACCATCCGAACAGAAACCAACGCATTGTTTCCAGTCTAGTCCATTTTCCACAAAAAAATCATTGATTTTCTTGAATATTTCATCGGCAGTAGTTCGTTCCGTTAACGCCTCACAAAATAAGTACTCTTCTTCGATTTTGGTTTGAAATATATACCGCACATAAACCATAAGCTGAGCATAGTTTGTAATATCTGTGCTCTCATCAAGTTGTATTGCAAAAAAAAATACTATTTATTATCCGGTTTATCAATTTCTCTTTAACATTTAATGCCATTATTTCAATCCTACGACGTACGGTATCATTGGATAATGGTATAATACTAAGCTGTTTACCTGAATTCTCTCCAAAAATACACGTTACCATATCTTGTGCGGCAGGCAGAACTAGTTCTTCGCCGATTGTATGCGCTTTTCCACACTTCGCAATTCTTAAACTCACGAGGAAGGATGCCTCTACTGCTTTTTGGTTGCTGCCGGTGAAATTCGACATTAATTTTTTTGTGCCTCTCATCTCCGTTAACTTCCGAACGAAGTAATCCTTAGGTTTATTTTTCCAACACTGAATGTTTTGTACTGAAGTGGCGTTTTAATAGCGAAGGTTTCAGACACTGGTTAGAAAGAATTTCCGAAGAGATTACACATTGGGGTCTTGGCTCATCATTTATATTCGTGAATGTAAATCCCATATTAATGTATTCAGGATCATATTCCTAACCGCCACTTTTATTTTTTGAAATAATTCTTTTTGTCATCACCCTGGATAGGCTCCGACTCTGAAGTGGAGGTCGATAGACCGGGATTTTCAGATGTTCTGTTGTCTCTTTTAAGCCACTTATCCATTTTTTATATGCAAAAATTAGCACGAATCAGTAACAGCAAATTACTCGTTTCGACAAAATTAACCACAACGACTGACGGCCACGAGGAAACTAATGACCACTGATGTGGTCCACACATGGACCACAATGAATAAGACATTACGCGCTTGTGTTTCCAACTCGCAGCGTTGCCATGCACCACGTAAAAGATAACATTCGTTGATAAATTTGATTAAAATTCTTCGTTTCTTCTAGTTTATAGAGTACCACCTTAAAGTTCTTTGCGTACCACCAGTGGTACGCGTACCACCGTTTGAGTACGGCTGGTCTAGGTATTATATTTACGAACAGCGCTGCAGATTATATACGTGCTTCGTGCGGCGGTAGTTAACGAAAATATGTGGTAAGTTTTAAATTTTGGTGTTTCTGATATAATTTTTTTAATCATTCTTTTGAAGATTGTATGTGTTAAACTATTTTTCCAAAAAGTCTTTCACCTAATTTATGTAAGCCGGTTTATTGTAAATAATGTTTAGAAACAAAATCTTTAATTTGAGGTTAGGTTGTTCCAAACATGCTTAGCTAAAATTAATAGTGACTTTTGGGGTATAAGTCCGCATTCCGGAAGGGGCAAAGATCCGCATGCGGATTTTTGCCTCATTAAGAACGTTTTTGCAAGCAAGAGAAAAAATGAGAATTTAAAACCATTTACAGAGGATGTTTTTATGCAGGCTAAACATTTAAAGGAAAGAGAAAAAAGAGTGTCTATCAACACGAGAAATAGGTAGAACTCTTGGCTATGACGAATCTCCCATTCGAAAGAGGCTAAAAGCGGACAGCAGCGTTAATTTCTGGGGTAGATTTCGACCTGTATTTACTCCAGGGCAGGAAAAGCAAATAGTGGACCATTGTAAAGCTTTAGACTTACGTTTCTATGGGCTTGCCCTAAAATCGCTTCGTTTTCTGGCATATCAGTTTGCAGAAAGAAATGGTACCCACCATCAATTTTCTAAGCAATCAAAACTAGCTGTAGATATTGCACTAGAAATTTTATAAAACGAAACCGCCTTTCACTACGTACACCACGAAAAACCAGTGTAGCTATAGGACCATGGAGTTCAACAAACATCAATTGTCACAGTATTTTCAAAATTTAAAATCTGTCCGTAAAATAGTTTCGAAACACAATTCAGATTTCTGCTTTAATCTGTGCTTTCTAAAAATTGCAAAGCAAAACAGACGTTGATGAAGGTGTTAAAAGAGACATGGGGAATCTAAAATTTGCATTTCACGACATGTCTTTTCAACTCTCATTATCAAATAAATTAAACTAAACATGGTTGCACATCCCAAACTGGAAAAAAAGAAGTAGCAAAAAATGTAGCTGCAGAGCAAGGAAGAACTGTTACACCTGCATGTTCTATGAGTGTTTTTTCTCGCACGCAAAAGTCTAAAATCCTCTTTTGATAAAGGACGTTATAACTGGTTCTGTTTTGGCTGTAACTGATTCTGGATACATGAATTTAGTAAGTTCTTCAATTTTTGGAGCACTTTCGCAAATATACAAATCCTAACCGCAGAAAGCCCAGTGCTATTAATTTTGGATAACCACATATAACATACCACTCTAGAGGCCATCACTTACGCAAAAAATAATAACATCCATTTGCTCAGCCTTCCACCTCACAGCAACCATCGAACTCAACCACTGGACAGAAACTTTTTTAGGCCATTAAAAGCTTGCTATGATGAGTTGTGTGATAATTGGACCACATCTAATCCCGGGCAAGTAGTCACAGAATACCACGTCGCTGGATTATTCAAGCAGGCTTATGAGAAAACTATTACTATAGAAAAAGCTGTTAATGGATTTAAAATGACAAGGTATTTTCCCTTTAGATGAAAATATCTTTACTGTAGAAGATTTTTTACCTTCTTCATTAACTGAACAAGAGCAAGAAGAAGTAGATGATCTTGACCGAAATAATAAAGATACTCTTTATTTATACGTCCATGAAAGATACACAATTAAGATTGTATTTGACGAAGACAAAAGTCAGGAAAATGACAAAGCAGAAAAACCAAGTGGTGAAGCAGAAGAACGAAATGTTGAAAGTCTACCAGATAGAGCTAGCATTTCAAGTAACCTGGAATCAAAACCCGGAAGCTCGAAAAATGAAATGTCTACTACGTTACCGTCAGATATCATTCCGTTGCCAAAAAGTAACCAAAAAGAGAAAACGAACAAGAAATGGATTGAAATCTAAACTTCTGACTACTCTTTCTTCTTCTACTCCACATAAAGAGCAAATGGAAATCTGAGCTGGAGAAGAAATACAAAGTGAACGAGAAAAAAAGGAAGGAAAGCATTAAGGAACATAAAAATACAGTAAGAAAAGTATTTGAAGAAAAACAAAATATACTAAACAAAAAGGAATATGAATATTCTTCTGACTCGGACGCGCAAATATCACTTCAAGATAGTAGCAGTAATTTAAATTTTTCTGAAAGTGATGCTGAAAATGAATTATCCGAATTAAATCCAGGAGAGTTTGCTACAGTAAAAGTTTACGGCAAACCAAGACTCATTTCGAATGTACGTTATGCGAAATTACTGTAATGGTAGATGAGGGTTACAGTGGTATTTATTATAGAAGGGCACCCAATACAATGCGTTTTTCAGAAACTGACGAAGAATTTTTTGTTAACCTGACAAACATTAAAAGGAAACTTTCCAAGCTATTGCTAGGAAGTTCTGCTAGATTTAAGAACTTTGTGAGCTTTTCAACCAAATTTAAGTGATTTAATGTTGCACTAGTTGTAACCTAAAAAGCGTTTCAGCTTTCTATTATAAAATACATATTATAATTATAATACAATACATTTACAAAATTTACAATACAAAAATACATACATGCAAAGAATACGAATACATAGAAAATTTATTTAAATTATTCAGATTGTTCCATTTAAATTTAATTATTTAATGTTTGTTAAAAGGGTTGAGTTTACCGAAAGTACAAGCTGAATATAGCCGCAAATGTCAAAAATATTTCGGTTTGGCAGTGTTGGCATGTTTTTATAATGCATATGTTGTATGCTTCAAATATAAAGCTTTTAAAAAGTACATTTTGATTATACTATTTTATGAATTCCGCAATTGTTAATTTATATGAAGCAATAACGGGTAAATATTTGTGTCTGTCGAGATTAATTGTAAACATCTGGCAACTGCTGAATTGACGATTGCCAAATCTATCCCCTAATCTATCAAAGAGTAATCACTAAAAAAATTTCTAATAATGAATTGCAATTTATCACAAAAGAAACAAATATTTACTCATTCTTGTTTTATATAAATTAAAAATTGCAGAATTCATAACATAATATAAACAAAATGTAAATTACACTTTTCTAAAGCTTTATCTTTTTATATTTGAAGCATAAGCATTTACATTATAAAAACACACTAACACTGCTATACTAAAATTTTTTTGTTCCATGTTTGACATTTGTCAAAGTCAGAGATGTAGGGCTTTTAAGTCCCCCTTTTTAAAATTTAATGTCTGTTTTGGCCTTTTTTTAGTGTGTTCTGTTTGTCCCTAAGTGTCCTTAATTGTTTTAGTTTTCATAATTTTACATACTGGACTTTACAATCATTTGCCATATAATACTAAGTCAATTGAACTTTATCAAAGAAATTTGATAATTACAAGTTAAATAAATTTGCACACCCGCACAATTGTACATCTAATTTCATTCATTGTCATACAACTGTCACCTTAATAAAATTTTAATAAATAACACACATTTCATAAATATATCTCTTGAATAAATATAAATAACTTTTAAAGAATTAAATAATATAGAACATCACTCTCATTTACCAAACAATCACATTACACCTATTTTCTACTTCATTGGAAAAAATATCTCCTCAAGAAACTTCCCCATTTATTGTCAAACAATTACAATAGTAAAAACTGAAGTTCTCCATTCAGCAATACAGGATAGTTTGAACTATGTACTTAGTCTTCCAACCATTAATTAAATTATTAATTGAAATGAGGTTGAATGCTCGAATAAATGAAACTTTGAAAAATGTATACATCCCTCCAGATACTGACAAAGAATGTAGCGTAGAATCTTTAAAGTAATTTTAAACTGTTTGCCCTCGTTTTAGTGTCAGTGTTTTGTACAATTTTATGTTATTATTAATGTTTTCACATTCTACGCTTGCCGGAATAGTTTATATTTTGACGAAATGCCCCTGAAGATGCTATTTTAAGCGAAAGTACTTGGGCTAGAGATTTAATTTAACTTGTGCTCGATAATAGCCTTATTTCTCAAAGTTCATTAATTAATTGTGTACCGGCATGTAAGTAATGTTTTGTTTATTTACTAATTTATTACAATTAAATAGACTATTTTATACCAATTTGTGGGTCTTACTTTGTATGCTTAAACTGTTTATTCATTTTTTTGGAAAAACCACAGACATGTAATATTGGCATAATTACTGTAATTTATATCATTTATCTTTGTTTATCTTTATAAGACAACACCCTAATATGGGTTTTATTATTTCAGCATTTAATTAACTTTGTATCGACAGACCTGAAGATGCTTTGCATATATGTAGAATGCGAAACCGGTCGTCTAGATTGTTAAATTAAACTGATTGTGAGTAAGTCTTATTTATTATTTCTTTTACCTATTTGATATGGACTCACGCAAGCAACACATTCATGATTTTAAAACAATATATTTTTTATTATAATTCATTGCAGTTTATTCCCATGTATAAAATATTCAGTGATAAAAGAAAATAATGTTTCACAAGGTACAATTTAAGAATATTGGTCAATCTACTTACTTCTGTAATGCATCCCCAAGGGCGGCTGATAAATCACCTTTTGTGGTATTATATACATCTTTTATAGTTACGTCGTTTACGTAACCAAACTTAAAAAACGGTAGAAACCACCTGGAACAAACAATAACTTATTACTTCCTACTGTCTTATTTAAAACATGCTAACGGTTTTTGCAATCACAATCAATGCAGTGTTTATGCTTGTTTAGCATTGGCTGTTAAATAACTTGTGTGTTACATTGTTTCGTCAGTTGCACAACCCTCGTCCTTTTTAGGGTGGTAAGTAAGTTTGTAATATAAAGTACCCTATTTTTTTATAGTAGTGTAGTGAAGCGGTACTTTAAAGTAAAATGAAGTAATTTGGAAGAAAATAAAATACAGTCGAAACGTAGAGTGTTATCTCCAGAAGAACGGCGTTCAATTCTGAAGGTCGAAAGTTATTTCAATATTAAAAAAATAATATGGGTCCATTGACATCTGTTATGGCAGCTCACAAACGCACATGCGATGCTTGCGGTATCTCAGAGAGGACATTCCGAAGAATTAATAAAGTAATCAAGAGAAATCGTCAACAACCAAAAACTTTATATTTGCACAAGTCAATTAAACTTCCAATTAAAAATATTATATATAATATGTATAAAGCCAAAGAACATGGAAAAATTAGAGCTGTGTTAAAAAAAACAATAAAAGACAAGGAACTGTGTGATATTAGTTTAACAAGTTTGTGGAGAGTGCTGAAACATTTAGGTTTTCGATATAAAAAGTCAAATAATAGACAAGTATTGTGTGAACTCTCTAATGTTGTTTCAAAACGGCGACATTTTTTAAGAAAATACATGAACAATAAAACGTCTGATAGTCCGAGGCAAGTTGTATTTTTAGATGAAACTTGGATTTTCGTAAAGTTAATATCGTCCTGGCAAGATGGCACCACAAAATGTTGTAACATAACATGGCCAAGATATTCTAGTTTGCGCTCTTTGATGGTGTTAATAATCTCGCATTCCTTGCCTATTCTACGTAGGACCTCAACATTAGTCACACGATCCATAAAATTCTCAAAATACGTCTGTAACACCACATCTCGAATGCCTCGAGTTTTCTTAAAGAAGCTTCGGAAAGTGTCCAGGCCTCTACTCCGTATAATAACGTAGAAAATCATAGCATCTAATGAGAGAAATTTTGGTAGCAAGTGGTAAATTGTGACTTCTGAAAAGAGTCTTCATCATTATCGAACGCTGATCTTGCTTTTCCTATGCGATGTTTTATTTCACTGGAGTGATCACACTGTTTTCTTAGATATGTATCCTTAGCTATTCTAATAGCTTTTTTGTATCTTTTTATCGATTCTTTTGTATAATGACATGTCTTGATCTTTGAACTTTCGCCTCTCTTCCATCATATCTAGAATCTCATTTGTCATTCACGATTTTTTCTTTATTTTTGGTGGTTTAAAAAATTTCTCTCGTATGTCTTTTGAAACTGTATGTAATTTTCTAGCTCCTGGTCAATTACATCCGATTGAATAACGGTATTCAAATTGTTCTGTATATACCGCTTTACACTATGTTCTGTGTGTTGGCCATTTAATAGCTTGATGTCGAATTTTGGATTGACACTACGTCTAACTATTTTTTCGCACCCATTTATCAAAGGCTGCTGTTTTGTATGTTTTCGCAACCCAAAAGTAGGTTTTCGAGTCAATTAATGGCGCACAAATGTCTTCTCGAGTCAGTTTACGAGCCTTCTTATTGCGTACGTAACCTTTCTATCCTGGAATCCGGATTTCCAACATAGAAGAGGGTACCCGAACAGTGCTCACACAAGTTCTGAATCAACCTGCATAGAGCTGAGAACTTCTAGAGCTGCTTGACTATCGAAGTAAATCACGATCGAGTCATTCTCCACTTGCTGACATTAGTTCCATAGAATACCTTTGTTTACAGGCCAACTTCTGCCTTCTCCATAGTTCCCAATCCTAACTGGATTTATGGCCTTGGTTTTGTACTATATATTAGCTCCTGTACCTTTTTCGTTTTTGGAGCTGTTTCTATACCAATTTGAGTTTATCATTACTGGCGGAACCTTTTCCCAGTATTATCCCTTTGGTTTTAAAATTGTTATCAAAGCTATACTTTGGACCATTCGGTCTACACACATGCCCGTTCTGGGCATACTTGTAGATCAGTAGTAATAACTACTCCGTGAATATATAACTGAATCACATTATTTGGAAAGAAACAATTTAATACGTCAACTTAAATATGATGTTACTAGCCTAGCTTCCTAAAAGTCCAGACCTTAAGCCGATAGACCATTTGTGGAACAACTTGTGAAGGATAGTTATGCAAAATTATGGCGAGTTTGAAAGTGTGGTAAAGTAAAAGCCATATAAGAAGACTGGTTAGCAATTACGCGATGATCAGTGGGTATCAAACAATTTTTAAAATTTAAAATTTAATTCCAATTACTTGGAATTAAATGGCTCATTTTAAAAGAAATCTAAATTATTTAATTTCATATATTTTATGTTCAGTAAAAAAGTTTGATTTTGTTATATTAAAAGCAAATGACGTTATTAATGACATTTTAAATATAGTAATCATTTAGTTTACTATACTATATTACACTATAACTCTCTATATAATAGAATATCTCTCCTATGGCACTACAGTTCATGTCAGGCTCTGTCCTTTCAAAGCATCCGCCTCCAAGCATCCCTTGGCTACTCTTCTATAGTTATCCATTCTCATTATCTCTTTAGCATCGGTTCTTACTTCATCTATCCACCACTTCCTTGGTTTTTCTAATGTCTGTAGTCCCACCATAGTTCCACTAGGTGTTCTACTAGGTACTATTATTATATATTCTTATAAGGTGGTCTGCCCAGTGCAACTTTGTATTTTTACATAATTTGCTATAGAGGATTCTTTGTAATATTGATAAGACTCGTGTTTAAACTTTATTCTTCACTTACCATTGTTGTAGATGGGCCCCAATATTGTTTCTCAATAACTTTCTTTCAAAAGTATTAATATCGTTTATTGTTTTTTTTTTGTGTCATGATCCATGTTTCTGCGCCATATGTTGCTAAAGGTCGTATGATGGTTTTATTTGACTTTTTTTAGTATCTTACTTTGCGATCACCGTACCATCAATCTAATATGCCAAATACTAAAAGTATTCCTAAAGATTATTCATCGTAGAATATTTAAAAAGAACAAGACATTGGACAAACTCAGTTCGGATTTAGAAATGCTCAAGTAACCAGATAAGCATTGTATGCAGTAAATATGCTAATACAGAGATGTTTAGATGTACACCAGGACATCTATGTCTGCTACCTAGATTATAACAAGGCATTCGATACAGTGAAACATAATCAATTAATAAAAACTACTGAGAACAAAGAACAGCGACACACTGGAGCGATATAAGAATCATAAATTAATAATCAAAAGCTGAAGATAAATCAATTAAAAATATACAATAAAAATCAAAAAAAGTGTTAGACAGGGCTGTGTCTTGTCGCCATCACTGTTTAATGCATACTCAGAGAAAATACCCAAAAAAGCATTAGAAGATGAAGTAGCAGGCATAAGAATAAATGGCCTGCCCATACGTGAAATTAGATATGCTGATGATACAATACTAATAGCAGAACATATTACAGATCTACAAAAAAATTTAGATAAGGTTGTTGCAGCGAGTAAAGAATTTGGTCTGTCACTAAACATAAAGAAAACAAAATTCATCAAAGAAAAAGATTAGATACATCAATCTACACGTAAATAATATGACGATACAACGAGTTCAGAATTATAACTATTTAGGGGCAAACATTAATGAAACAAACGATTCCACCAAAGAAATTAGAGGTTAGAATAGAAAAGGCTAGAAGTGCATTCAATAATATCCGTCAACAAATGCCGTTGTACTTGGAACTGTAATATACTTTTACAACTTGAGTTAAGAGAACAGTGAGTTAGCGATAATGGATCTACATGAGGTAGAAAGAAATGATCTACTGAGATCCATTCTCCTCTATCATGAAACTGTTCTACGACGTCCAAGGACGTACTAAGTACACTATCCTCGTGATAAACAAACATTTACGTCAAGAAATTATACAAAAATCCGTTAATTTAACTAAAAAATACTTTTAAAAATAATTACTGTTACAATTCTTACTTAAAAAGGACAATACACAATTAAATTATTGGATAATAGTTCCAAGGCCGTTAATTGTATAGTAATGTTCGTATCAGTTAATATTCATTAATGCATTGTTTGTTGATATCAGTGGCGTAGCGTGATTAACGTAGACGAAGTCGCATCAGAGATGCCAAGAAGAAAAAATGCACTGGCTCAAAAGGCGGTTATGGATATTCCAATGTTCATTTTATTTCAATATTTCAGTCTTCAATATTACCGACAGAACCTATAGATACTACCTAATATTCTTCGTATTGTTGTAGCAGATAACCGATTACAATCTCGTAATAAAAGGGTGTTTCAAAGGTTTATTGCGTGGGATATGAATCAGAATTGTCCTTTAGCAAATCATTTTGTTCTGAAAAGTGAAAGTGAAAACCTAAGCATCGTTAGCAGAGTTTGTTTAATTGAGTTAATTATTTTGATTTTAAAATGCTGAAAATATCTAGTGTCGCTATTTGGATTATACCTTACAAAGCTATCTATTGATTTGGACAAAGTTTATTGTTCAGTTTGTGGCAAAATTGTAAATACTAAATATTTAATACTTTTCTATGTTTATTTGATATGTTATTTGACATATTTTAGATTGCACAAAAAAACGTTAATAAAACGGGAATAATATTTTGTCTATTGCTGAAATATCAGTGATTGTCTTGCAATAAACGTGTATTTATTTGAATAGAATTTTTTGTATTGATGATATTAGTTTAAGATTAAAAAGAAATCGGATCTAATTGTAGTTATTTATATTAAACAATGTATTAGAGGTTTAATGCGAAAAGAAATTTGAGAAAGATCAACATGTCAGAACTGCGTCACATTTAGCCAAAAAAAGGCAAAACTAAATCTGGAGAAAATTATCAAGCTTTGGTTTCTAGTCTTTTCGGTTAA